AGCTGTTATTTATAATATGTATTTTATAAAACATCATTTAAATCTCTAAAAATACACTGCTTTACGTCTATGATATATCTAACAAGAATTATGAATTAGTCATTTTGACCATCCCGACAGTTCTAGTGATAAAGTACGAGGGAACCAGTAAAGTAGTACTGTAAGAAACGAATTGTAAGTATTTCTATTCTAAAAAAGATCGCTTGCACGAGTTTCGTTCCAAGTAACGTTTACTTCAGTTCACATTCAAATTTGAACAATTCTCAAATCTAAGAACGGCGCGCAGGACTAACGAAGAGGATATATATGCAAATTCTTCGACGGCGATAACGATGAAACAACAAAAAGCGACGAAGTGATACGCGATATTATTGCAAGACGTTTTAAATATTAACAAAAATATGTCTCACTGGTGTTAAGTAATTAAATATTAATATCATATTAATAACAACGACGCAACTGATAAAATATGATAAATATGACGTTGCCGCATTCTGCTCGTTGCGTCAAATTTGAACACAGAGTATAGATCATAGAATCAGCTTCGTTTGTTTCTTGTCGCGTAATGACAACGATTTTGTCGATGTGCGACACTCGCATACTCGATCGATCCGCACACGTCGAAAGGCTGTGAGAAGGTTAAAATCGATCGTACTTCCCCGCAATGAGAACGCAACTATTGCGCCGGAGACTATTCAACCGGTCCTTATGGGAACGCGAAAGTTAAATGGACTATCGATTCAAGATTCCAGTCCGAATCTAGCACGCTTATTACAGAGAATGTGGTTGTCACCTGTAGTAAATAGACATCTGGACGACGTGATCCATCTGGAAGCGTGGTCGATTTCCAATACTCGGAACGAATTGCAATTGCGAGGCAATTCCGGCGGAGCTTCTGGGAGAACAGTGTTCAAGCATCGGTCGAGGACGAGGACGAGGACGAGGACGAGGACGCAGGGGAAGAAATATCGAGTGAGGTCGAGTTCGAGGAAGGCCGCGAGGCGAAAATAAGCGAGGTCCGTGTTATCGTTTAGATGAAACTAGAACGAACCAGAGGTGGTGGGTCGCGCGCCGATAAATCATTCGATGGACGTTCACCATTTTTCCACCTGGATGCGAGACCGATGTGCGCGAAGAGGTCGCAAGAACGGAACGTGGTGACGTAATATCGCGTAAGCGTAGCCCCGTGAACGCGCCGCACCGCGTCGACCTATTGATTCGACGATCGCCGATCGATTGCGCCATCGTGACTCTCGTCGGGAATGCGCTAATTGGGTATCGTACCCACCGTCGCGATTTCCACGTCGAGTCTTCCATTTAGTTCCAATTGGTTTAGAAATTGGGAGACCAATGGTGGTGTTTCAATGATCGTGATTACAATATATGATATATTATATTATATAACCCATATAATAAAATCGCGATTATAATATATATTATAATATATAACTCATATAATATTTAATATTCTAATATATAATAATATGATATTTAATATTCTAATATATAATCCATAATATTTAATATTGTAATATATAACTCAATTAATATTTAATATTCTAATATATAACCCATGTAATATTTAATATTGCAACGTATAAATCATATAATATTTAATATTCTAATATATAACCCATACAATATTTAATATTGTAACATATAACCCATATAATATTTAATATTGCAACATATAAATCATATAATATTTAATATTCTAATATATAACCCATACAATATTTAATATTGTAACATATAACCCATATAATATTTAATATTGCAACATATAAATCATATAATATTTAATATTCTAATATATAACCCATACAATATTTAATATTGTAACATATAACCCATATAATATTTAATATTGCAACATATAACCCATATAATATTTAATAGTGTAATATATAACTCATATAATATTTAATATTATAATATTGTAATATTTAATATTGAAATATATAACCCATATAATATTTAATATCGTAATATATAACTCACATAATATTTAATATTGTAATATATAACCCATATAATATTTAATATTGTAATATATAACTCATATAGTATTTAATATTCTAATATATAACCCATATAATATTTAATATTATAATATATAACCCACAATTGAGATAATTGCATCACTCGGGACGCAAATTCTAGCTTAGATCAGTTTAAGTTTGAGAGACCAATGATCACTTTCTCAGATGGAAACTCTGGAGGATAGACGTTGAATTTTTTTTTCTCCTGGTCTTTTGCTTTTTCCGCACTTGAATTAACGATGCTGAAATTAATGTTTATTGCAGGAATTTCTTCTGTCAGCAATTTCCAGATGTCTCGGGGATTTCTCTCCCCTTACCAACGAAAAAAATCGAGCTTAATTCGAAACCAAGTGATCCTTACATCCAGCGTTTCGAATATACCTAACGAAATTATTAAAGACTTTGGTCTCTCACAATCAGATCTCTCAATCTTGGACCGGAAACGTAAAGCAACGCATCCTCCTTCGCGAACGTTGAAAATTTACAATGTACAATTTTGTTGTTTTATCGTTATCATCCTTCTCTTTCGTTGGGGAAAAACCAACGGGTTGAACAAATAAATAGATAAACAAGTGGGAAACAAATCGTTCTCTCAGCCGCGAAACTAGCGCTAATAAAGTAGATCGTCGACGAGATATCAAGAAACGAAAACGTCATCGATGCTTGTCACCACGGCACGTGGCAGGAAGCTTCTTCTTTAAGATTGGAAAGCGGCACGAGCGCAGCGGCACGATTACGCGACGTTGTGTAATGTCGCGATCGTTTCAGCGACGATTGGCAGCGCTTGCGTGGAGCGCGTGGGTCCGGCGGTATTACAAACGAGAGCAGCTGTCGATGCTCCCGATATCAGGTTTTCAGCCGCGCATTAATTCCTGTAATAGCCGGTTGTCCCGCTGCATCCGGAAATCTTATCTGCAACGGATCCGCGCGCCGGTTATTACGAGCACCTGGTAATCAACAGCAATAACCGGGCAACGTTCTTACCCAAGTACGATTATGTTTATCTAACCCCGTTGCGCGCCTAGCTCGGCCACCGATACGAGAGATCGAGATCGTTGGTTAATTGTCGCGATTCAGCCGGCCACCCTGCCGCTCGATGAACATTTTTCTTCTAGCATCGTTATGCTCGGGTGTGACTTTCGTGATTTCCGCGGATGCAATCACGGATATGCAAAACAGTCATCTCCGATTGTTCGATTGCACGTTTTACCTGCAAGGAAAGGAGAAAGACGAACGATCGGTGAATCGTACGGGTCCTTGACACTGGGTCGCGCGATGCATGGATCTCTGGTCACGTATGTTACGCAACTTGAGCGACGACGCATCGATCGATGCGTTCCGACACAACCGAACCCGGCGAGCGTCGTTGCCTCGTGACGATTATCGCGCTCGCGATTCCCACGATTGCGCAACCGCTACGCAGCTCGCTGCAACCGCGAGTCATTGTCGTCGAAACACGGAGCGAAGTCGGGGCATTGCGCGTGAATGTCAACAGACAAGGCGAGGTTCGCTCCACATCGTGGAGGAGGAGGGGAGAAAAATGCAGGCGCGTGGCAGGCGGTTGAAGTTCACGCGGCCATCAATCCAGTTAGAGTCTAGTTTCGAGCGATGCCTACCGTGAACCGTGAACCAAAGTTCGCGGACGAAATAGGAATCGGCGAGTCGAAATCCTATTTTAAGACGACGTTTCCTTTTTCTTCGGCCATTCGTTGCACCATCTGTAGATAGACGAAATAGTGGAAACACTTCGTACGATACGCGTACATTGCGATTGTTCGCCTTGAACTAGCTCGCACTGAGATTACGCTCCATCTCGGATCCAATGGCTGTCTAAACATTTTGAGCAATCAAAATGGTGCAATCGGTATTTTTTTTAAAGGCGACAATGCTCCGGTCATGGTCGAAGCTACGATTGTGAAATCTTGGTTTGAAGAATTTGAAAATGAAGTTAAACATCTTCTTTATTTTGTTTACTTTGTTCTCGAAATCTTTTCTCGATTCTCTAGTCTCTATTAGGTTGAATATATAGTCTCGAAAGCAAAATTAGAAACAGATTCCCTTCTCCGGCTTCACTAAAAAAGCTTGAGAATGCGTTACACGAGGAACAGCATAATATCTCGTTAAATATCATTTAATATTTGTATTCTATAGTATATTATAAAGTATTTTGACGCTTTACCTAACCTTTCTATTTCATACTGAAGTATAAATATTTAATGTTTAGCGAATTAACATATTAGGGACAAAACTGGATATTTGGCTATGGGAACCGAATTCTAATCACTATGTGTTATGGATGTACAAGTGTCGAAGAGAATGACGAACATTTTATCTACGATTTTTGTTCTATTAATTAAAATGTACATATATTTATATATTAAAATAATACAAAATGTTTACAAATACGGTAAACTAGCAATTAACATAATTTTTTACAAATTTATGTTAATTTTTAAATTTTTACAAATACGGTAAAAGTTCCTAAACTAGTAATTAACATAATTTTTTTTATAAGACAGAAAACGAGAAATAGAATAATAATAACTTTATATATAATAATTAAATAGAATAATAATAACTTAATATTTAATTATTTTAAATAACTTTATATTTAAATTAAATAAAATAATTATAACTTTATATTTGTTGAAATTGTTAAAAATAATTTCACTATTTTTTAACTGATGAAAATAAAAATTTTATAACTTGCTTGTTGCATTTTGCACGTTTTTTAATAAGTACTCACTTTTATCCACCGCTAAGGGTGGTAATCCAGAAAATTTTATCTTCTCGCGAGTCGAAAAATTTTTTCCAAAAAAATTTTCATCATTTTCTCGTTCAATCTCAGTCAAGAATTTTTTTCTCTTTTTTAGTTCACGAAGCTAAATACATATTTACCCTACTTTCCCTTGAAGCGTTGTCGAATCCTTGTACTTTGTACTTTCCTTTCATTTGCAGCTTGAAGGGCAAGTTGCTCGTCGGACATCGAAAGCCGCCAGTTCAAACACCCAGGTACAGATCCCGCAGCGGAACGTTGCGCAAGATGGTGTAACGGAGAAAACGATATCGTCGGTGTTATCAGCGGAGTTTTCAAAGCAAGCACGATAGTCGACCCGTCGTGTCTGTCACCGTGGATAGTCACGGCACACCTATCGACGCCCGACGTGAAATATGGGCGAAAGTATTTTCTCTCGAGGCGGAATCGCGTAATATCACTGGCGCAACGTCGTTCCTCGGCAACAAGAGCGCGAGATAATTGGAGTATCCAGTCGTCCCGGTGATTCTGCTGATTCGGCTGTTTCTCGGCGATCGTAACGTTTACGTAACCGAGGGATCACTCTCGTACGGACATTGTTACAAATTTTGGTACAGGAATAGAATTTGTGAAATTTCCATCGGCATGCACGCAACGCGAGGCACGATTTTTCAGTTCGTTCGCGTTCGATCTGACGAAAAGCAATGTATCGAGCGAATACGACAACCAGCGACGATTAGAATTTTAAAAATAGTTCGTTTTCGTGGCGAAACCGAGGTCAAACTTGCGTTTTTCAAACGGGGTCCGATGTTTTTTTGTTTTTTTTTTTTTTTCGTTTCGTTCGTTACATCCGTCGAGACATCCTAATAAATTACGAGAAAGTCGAGACGTTCTCTAATAAATTACGAGAAAGCATGCAATTTTGTATCTTCACTGGCAAAGTGCTATTTCCGCGGTAATGGGAATTGAAATTACTGAATTTTCTCTCGCATTCTAATTTTGAACACCGTAAACAACGTCAAGCCTCGAATTACAGAACGTAAACATAGGCCGTTAGAAGCGATTATTAGTGAATTTGTACGACGTAGCAAAGTAGGTGAACATTAAATTTCCATTATTGTAAAGATAGCACCGTGTTGACAAAAAGTATGAAATTATACGCTTCCCGAGCTCGTTCCAACGTCCCCTGTGCAACGTAATGGGACAAGAAGATATCTGATCTTGCTTACGAAGAACGCAAAGTGACCTTGGCTCCATTACGAAAACGAACCACTTTTAAAATTCTAATTGCCGTTATTCTGTTGTACGCACTGATACTGACAAATTTTTGTTCCAACGGCCGCGAAAGATTGGCAAACCAGTGCGTCGTGTCACGTGTTCGAAACAAATCTAAAAAATTGTAATCAAAAGTCTAAATAAAAATCTAAAATTAAAACCTGAGAGTTAAGTATTCGAATGGCAGAGTTGGGCAAAAAAATCTCAACGACTGACGAAACATTCCCAATAATCTTTCATCGCGATTAACGATTACATTCCAACTTTATCGAGGTGGTCGATTAAATTCCTACAGTCGTTAATTGCGATTGAGAGTTAAGTTCTTGTTTTAATCATCAATTATTATTCACGATTATTCAGGTCCCTTTCAATTTTAATCGCCAGTCGGATCACCTCATTAACGATTAACTTTCTTTTGTAGCGAAATTACTTACGTAATTAATTTTGCGTAACTAGCATTTTCTCACTGATGCCTATTTTATTTTATTTTATTTTATTTTTTTTTTTTGATCATTGCTTGTTTATTTAACAAATTTCTGAAAGTTACCGAGTGAAGGTTGTACACTGTTAATCGATGAAATCAATCGCCAACTTTTTAATGATTAATTTCCTTTAACCAACGATCGATTTTACTTGTCGATTGATTTCACGACGATTAGCTTCATTAATCGTAAACATTAACCAATCAGTCAAAAGACTTCAATCGATGAAATGCACCCAACTCTGGATGCAAGTACCTATTCTGCTTTGATACCGACATATGTATGCATCGTAAGAAACTTCCAGGACCAATTCAAACGTTCGCATCTGTTCAAACGGATCGGTCGATCCCCCCCCAGATCGGCCGGAGTCTCCAATCCTATCGAGGGGAATCGCTCGGCTTATTATCAAAGCTCGACAGCGACTTGTTCGAATCGAGTGGCCGTTGTCCAGCCGTCAGGAATTTCGCCGATGATCGCCGATGTATCCGGCGAGATGCATCGCGCCGGCCCCCGAGTATCCGCTGGCTGGAAATCGGCAGCTGACGTTGTTGCGCCGGTAAACCCGCGACGTGTCAGCCACGGAGAATTACTCGCAGGGGGATAAACGCGAATAGAGCGGCTCTCTCGCTTGGGAAACATTGTGAAACGCCGTGTTGCCGTACGATCGGCGAGCATCAGCCCCCCGTTGGCAGTGAATTTCTGCAGCCGATTGTGTCACTTGGTGAAAGCTAAACGGGTCAAAAGGCGTAATTAACGTTAACGTAACGCTGTTTACGCGTCCAGAGCGCGAAAGAACCGCGATCGTGCAGGCTCCATTCTTCAGATTAGATGCTATCGAGTGGTCGAATGCCACGCAGCTTGTCAAGTCTAATCCGATCCGACTCGATGGACCAAATGGTAAGTCTAATTCGCGACGCGAATATCATGTAAGAGATATATACAGGGTGTTTCGTAACTTGTGGGACTCACTTCGGGAGCTGATTGTACGCCTAAAAATAATGAAAAAAAGTCATATAAATGTATGTCCTATCTGTCTTCGTTTGTGAGATATAATGAATTTTCTGTTTTAATTACTTTTACAAAAGATGCTCGAAATGACCAGCTTGTATTTGAAGACAAGCCTGCACGCGTCTTGTCATTCATCTGGTTACTCTCTCTATAGTTCCTGGTGTTTCTCGAATTTGTCGGAAGCCTTGCTTTATTCTATTTCGTAGTATTTCAGCATGTTCAATCGATGTTGCGTATACGATAGATTTTAAATGTCCCCACAAGTGAAAATCTAATGGATTCAAATCCGGAGAACGAGCAGGCCATGCAATAGGACTTCCACGACCGATCCATTCATTTGCAAAGTGTTGATTTAAAAATTGCCTAGCCACTCGGCTAAAATGCGGCGGAGCTCCATCATGCATAAACCGCATACGAATAATCTAATATCGACTTGGAACTTCCTCTAATATTTCGTGTAAACGCGTNTCTTGAATGCACAATAACATGTGGGTTTTCTTCATCCCAATTATGATTATTATGAAAATTGAATATACCATCCGTGGTAAAACTAAAGCTTACTAGAGTTTGTTATGTTTATAAAATTTATTATATCTCATAAACAAAGACAGATAGGACATATGTTTATATGACTTTTTTTCATTATTTTTAGGCGTACAATCAGCTCCCGAAGTGGGCCCTACAAGTTACGAAACACCATGTATGATTATAAAATTATACGATTGTACGATTATACAGTCTGACGTTACATGAAAAACAATAGCTCGAATAGAATCCAATTGACCTCGTCTGTACTGCCGAGTGTCATTTATAGCAGGTTGCAATCCCTTATTTCTTCTAGGGATCTCGCAGGTTTTAAAAGGTTGGAGGATACCCTGTGTATCTATTATTTTATGATCAGCTTTTAACGTGAATTTTATTATACTATCGACTTTCTTTACAATCGCACTGGTGTGTGTCCGACTTGAGTCCACTGCGAACGAATTCCTTATGCTTCAAGGACCACCCACGACAATGTGGGACCGAGCTGCCTTAAGTCGACGTGTTGAGGAATGTGTTTTCAGCTCTCCCATGTTCTCGAGTTGATTGTCTTTTCGTATCTGACGAAAAAATCCTCTACGCCTTGAAGATTTGTCTATCTCCCCTTCCAGGAAAACTGTCTCTCAAGGGGATACCGAATACCGTGCGCGAGTAAAAGGAAAGTGAAACCTTCATTTTCCTTGAAGATCACATGGACCTCGAAGCCCTACCGAGATTTATGACAAGTCCGTTCGTTGTCAATTCTACAATTCTCAGATGTTTGAGATGTAGACCCGGTGCCTGCATTTTCTCTGTTAAGAAATATAAAACTAAGCCCCGTCCGTGCCATAAATTACGATTTTTTGTTCCAAATTGCAACATTTTCTCAGTTTTAACACTAGAACTATCAAAGCAGTCAAAATGATTTATGATTTTTTAGAGTAATTTTGCGGATTTACAATTTACAGTTACATTTTTTAGAAATTCGAGTGGTTTTTGTAAAATATATAAATAAACGCTCGTGCTCACTGTCTGTATTATAAATCTTTTCCTGTTCCTTGTATTCTAATTTCTTTGACTCTAATTTTGTACATTACTTCTCGGTAGTTCTAGTGTTAAGTATATCTAAGTATAACCCAGGCAAAACAAATAATAAATTTATTACTTTTCGACAATTTCTATCCTAGCGACATCATGACATCGACGAGTGTTCAAAAGAAGAAGAAAGCGACGAATTATTGTATACGGTTCGGTCACTCGTTATGGTCCGCGAACCAGTTGCCAGGGCAAGAGGGCTATTATTTTGACGATGTCCACGTTCGCCGTGCACGAAAGAATCCCGGGCGAATCTTATCTCTAGAAAGGAAACAAGTTCAGCAAGAAGTTAAATCGCGGTCAATTGAATCAGCCGCGTTTGAACGTTTCAAGGATGGCAAGGCTCGTGTCGATGACCGATAACCCGATGATCGCCCCGATAGAAGATCACGAGCGGCAGGTGAATGCCGCGTGTGCGTCGAACAATGCCTGATTCCTTTCGCGAGGACTCTACGCAACGTTGTAAATATACACCGAGGGTAACGGGAACACGCAGGCGGCTAGAACGTCGTTTAATTGCTACGCTTTCGCGGCGCGGACGTGGAATCACGGTGTCACGAGCACGAACGCTAAATCCGGGTGCCTACGACGAGTTTCAGAGGGGCTGATTCGATTTCGTATTCACTTCAGAATGCAACACGTCTAATCCTCGTGACACTCAATTTCAATGTATCAATGTCGGAACTTCTCGCGAACAAAAGAAAGGAAGTTTCGTCATCGAATGGTCGAAGAAAAACTTGGAAACTCGATCGAGCGTAAATTCTTCCAATCGATGAAAAAAGAGAGAGAGAGAGAGAGAGAGAGAGAGAGAGAGAGAGAAATCGACCTTCGCGATTATTCGATTAATCGTGGACGTATTGGACGTTACGTAAAACGAAGAGAAGTGCGCGAAGTGTCAAAAAGGCAAAGGAAATGTGCCAGAAAAGTTCGGTACGCGCCACGCAGCGGTGTTCCTCTCGAACACGGACGACCGCGACGCGTTTTAATCGCCGTGAGTGTTCGCCGCAATTGAACAGAGAGGCGATCCCGCTGGCAATTCCGCTAATAACAAAGCGTTGACGCGCTCGGCGTTCTTGGAGCATTATGGCGCTAAGACTTCTCGGAAGAAAGGCGCTCGTATCTGATTGGCAGCGATGTAAATAACGCGCGGTGACGCACGAGAAATTCCACGGGAGTCGTTATTTATAGGTGAGTGATACCGCAGGTATCCTGGATGCGAGTGCCGCTCGAATTCAGGTGGCACGATCAAAGGTCGAAATGGAGTTGCCTTCGATATCTCACTGCGACCAATTGTCTTTCGCTAATTAATTAATTAATTTCGAGTTCCTTTATCGGATAAACTTGTAAACTTGTAAAGTTACCTCGAAGAATTTCCCTCGTGCTCGTCTTTGACGACACCATCATGGCGGTCGGACTGACTGTCGTAAAAACTGGAAGAATTTTTTTTTTTTTTGTACAGGTTTAAAATCGACATCAAGGAGACGAAAAATTCATTTCATTTCCTACATCAGTGGGTGGTCCTTCGGAAAGAAGGAACATAATCAAAGGTGCACGATCGACACTAGTCGTGAATGACCTTAACACAGTTATAGTTTAATTAGAAATTAGTTGCACCTGATTGTAACTTATCAGAAATTGTGATAAAAGAAACGCAAACGCAACGATGATTTTTGTTTTTTTTTTTTTTTTTTTTCGTGTAGGTTTAAAGTTGCATTTGAGGTCACAATGAGAGAGTACAATCCAGGTTACATTTTTCTTTTCATCGTGCCATTTTTGTCCTTTTTCATTGTATTTGATAAAGTCTTGTCTATACTCGTAGAATCGGTATAAACTAGATGTTCGCTTAGAGCGTATGCTTTTGCTGAGAAAATAGTCATTTGGAAGAAGTCATTTTTACTGGAAGAATCTTCTTAACACGTTGACTGCCACGGTGGTGACTGGAGCTTACCTTGATGGTCATAGACGGGTGACCACTAGCGAAATAAACACATTATTTATAAGAGTGATTTTATTTC